TGACGGCGTCATTCGAGGCGGGAAAACCGGAAGGCCCCGGGCTATTAACGAACAGCCGCCGCGACCTAAGAAAAAATGGTGAGAAAAAAACTTTTTAGAAGCTCGAAGAATGGTCACGGGAGAGTTGCCTAAACTAACGAATGGCATATATCTCCCCTCATAAAATTAATGCTCTTCTTTACGACGCCTTTCTGCCGTATGAATTTTTGGAACGCCACAACTTTAAGAGATCAGGGGACCGACAGAGGCAAGATAAATTTTTATTTTCATTTATTCAGGGACACAGCCGGGTTGGTTTATATGAAGAAACGACGTTGGTTTCCAACACGACCTCCGAGTGGAGCGATATTCGGGCCCGTCTCCCGGACTTGTCCCGCCAGCATTGCGATAACCGGGCGCAGCTCGTGATCATGGATGGAAACGAAACGCGCAATGCGAAATTAACTGTGGCCGACCCATCGACGGACCCACTCTCGATCTCGGGATCCAACGCCGAACCCTGAGAGGATTCAACCCTTACAGGGCACATTGCGAACCTCCGGGCGCCTCAAGCACCAAATTTTGAGACCCAATTTCTCTTGTCCATCATTTGGAGGCAGCCCGTGAGTTGAGGGTTTAACAATGGCTGATCATTGCGGAAATGCAGAGACAAAACTCGGACTACGCCGTCACCGTCGCGGACGTGCAGAATCGGAATGCTTAGCTTTAAAATCAGATGGAGGAATCGAATAACTACTTTTCGGCACGTGCGTCCAACACTGCAGTGGTGGACGGTCTTCTTGCGCAACGAGAATCGGTGCTTGCGGGGCGCGAACGCCATTTGGAGACAGCCCCTGCCCAACCCCAGGCACAACTCCAGGAACGAGAGGCACGCACCAGTGCCTTGGAAGCGCGGCTTGCGGCTTTGTGGTGCCGATACGCCCGGACAGCGAGGAGTTCCCTCTTCCAGGAGAGGGCCCCCAGATGCACCCGCACACGGGCCGAAGTTGGCGCATCGACACAGCCCCACCACGAGCGTTTGATGGCTGGTGACGTGCCAGCATCCACGTTTCCTCAACGCAATCTCACGGGAGAGATGGCGGGTCAATACTCATACGTCATTGGGCACTGTGGGCGACCATATTTCCCTCACCCCATGGCTTGCCCTTCCGATCCCCACTTTCAGAAGAAGTTTTTGGTTCAAATGAAGGAAATCTGTGTTTTCTTGCATTCGGCGTCGACACTTGGGTCCCGCGTGTATGAAACGAGGGCGTCTCCGGAGTCCTCGTCGACCTCCGATGCGAATACGGTTATTATTGGCACTAAGTGAAGTCTTGGGTTCAACTTGTCTTCGGCGGTTTGGTGTCGTGCAGGCGCGCACTCGAGATAGATCGGGATCCCACCGATCAGCTCATGGATTTTGGCAGGACCCTACCGCAGACCTTCCGGATGCGGATCATGATGGCATCCGACCCCAGCATCACGCTCTCCAAACTTCGCGACCGCCTTCACATGGCTGTTCATGTGGCTGACACCTTCGCGAAGGCAGCCCTGCCTCTCGTGTAACGGCGAGCTACCCAACAACAACAACAAGAACAAAGACTGTTGCGATGCCGATTGTGTCGTATTTGTGGGCACGACGCATCTACACGCAATGTGTGCCCCAGAGGAAATTGCTCACAAAACAGGTGCCCTTCAAAAAACGGCAGGGGGGCGGCCGGCCGCTTACGAAGGCGGAAGAAACCCCCACCCATTCCACCACCTCCCACCAATCCTCACAGGCGTCGCACCGCACCGCCGACACTCCGCCCGACCTCTGAAATCGCCCGACGCAATCGTCGGGAAGGGCAATGGAGCTTATCCGCTAACGACGCTCGACTGTGGTACGACGAAGCACCGACATCCCCGCTTTGGAGCACCCGTACGAGGAGAGCGAACGAGGCGGCTCGAGAATTGTGTGCGCTGTCAGTGTGGGAGCAGAGAAGGCCTCTGGCGGGGCAATTCACAACCTTATGCCGCACGCACGAACAGCCGACCAGCGAGGAGAGCCGCGCGCCCTTTTGGCGGCAATATTAGATGCGGCGCCATAGTCCAGAGTGCGGCACGCAAGGATGCTGCGGTCCGTGTTGCAAATGGATCGAACCCCGCTGGACATGGTGATTCTGGGGTTGCAAAAGGTTGCGGCGCGATTGGAGAGGAAGCAGGCGCGCCCCTTGACAAGGGAATGGGTGGATGGATATATCCACAGCCGGACTGATTGGAAGGAACGTGTTGTTTTTCGACCTGCGTGGATAACGGCGAGTTGTCGTTCCGAGATTGCAGCCTTAACCCCCAACAATTTCACGCTGGAGCATAATTTTGGATTGGTCCGTGGCGTCAAGGACGGCGAGGGCGGACTCCCGCCGAGCTTTGCGGTTCGTCAGGATACGAGGAGGGCAGGACGCGTTCGACACTATAACGTTATGCAGGACACTTCGACGCAACGAAAGCTTACGAATCTTACGACTGCTCACGTGGAGCGATCTCTGGTTTCTTGGAATGCCACGGCGCACTCCACAAAGCAGGGTGCGTTGAGGCACGCCGCTCAAATCGTGGAGACATGCAATTTGGACCCACACGTGATATTGCAGTTGGCGATGCACGTTGACCCGTTCGACCTTCCCCAGAGCATAGTTTGATATTTGGGGAGGTACACCACTGTGCCGACCCAGGTGTCGTCGCTGCCCGCATTGATGTGAAGGGAAAACTGCGAGGGGCATGAACTCTGGTTGAAAGGGGAGAGGCGTTTTTCATGCTTTTTATCATTGCGCTGCTACAATAACGCGACGCAAGCCAAGGACGCGTCCGGCCACTCCACAAGATGCACGAACCATCCCGCCGCAGCAACAAGTCAACGTGCCCGTGTTGAATCTGGAGTGGATCCAGAGCCGGTTGCACCCGGCCACCCTGGAGAGACTCATGCAAGTATGGGCACGTCGGGCGGTCTCCTTTCCCTCTGCCCTCCTCCGGCAGGCGCGCGAAAGCTCACGGAGGATTCCAGTCGCCGACGCGCGATTGCTGAAGGAAGCGGGAATAATCGAGGACGCTTTTTCTGCAAGAACAGGCGGATAGATAATACCCTTTTGGTTGTAGAGGGGAAAACCACCGGTTTGCGACGACGATGGATCGCGTGGCCACGCGACAAGAACAGAGACGACGCTTACGAGGCTAACGTTCCTCTTCTACACATTTCCCATTATTTGCCGCCTGTGATGGCTGAGGCCGCTTCCTGCCTGGACTTAAAGGCGTCCTTTTTGCAAGTCCCTTTACCGCGGGAGACTCGGCATCTCTTTCGATGCCGCGTGGAGGACGGCACGCTGGTGGAGCTGACACGGCTCCCAATAGCACACAAGGCCGGCCCACAAATTCTCCAGATTATTATTACTTCGGCAATTGCGGTGGTGACGACGGTGGTTCGCCCCCTCTGGGCTGCACCTCCATTGGTGCGTGTCGAAGTATGGATCGATAATATACGCATTGCAGGGTCGATAGGCGATGTGACACGGTGGGAAGCCCAAGTGCTTCGTAATGCGGACGGCCGTCGCGCCACGATGGGGGAGGACCGCGAATCGGGTGCTGCGCAGTACACCTTCCTGGGGTGCAGTTTGATCACACTCACCGTGCGGTATCCCTGAGTGAGAAGTGTGTCCGGTCTGCATGCGCCATGCCGGCGCTCAATTCTTCAGCCATCGCGGAAATGGAGGTTGTGGCGTCACGCTTTTAGTATGCGGCGGCCATTTTGGGCACGTGTTTATGTGTCTACTGCTTTCTCATCAAGGCAGTGCGACGACGATTATCGGCACTTGACCGGGGGATTGTGCTGGAGACATCCCCGGTGAAAATTCCGCCGGCAGCGGTTGGCTTGGGCGAGAGACTGTGACACATCATCGAGAATATGGCCGTAAGCGAATCATCGAGCCCACGGAAAAGGCGTCGGCCGCCATCATCAGGGACGCATCGCTCCATGGATGGGGAGCCGTCTTCATTCCAGATTCAAGCAATGTCAAAATTGCCGGAGGAAAATGGAATAAGATGCCTTTTCGCATCATGCAGGCCGAGGCACGCGCGGTGCGCTTGGACCTATTGGCTTTTTCCGCCATCCTGCCACGCACCGTCGACGTTTGGATGAGCAATACTTCGCTGCAAGGAGCTGCGAATAAGGGCGGCTCGAAACCACACGCCACGACGCGGGAGCTGAAACGGATATATGGGTTTTCGGACCCTCGCGGAATAAAGGCATTCTTTGCTTAAGTACGGTCTGCGGAAACCCCCGCAGACGGCATATCACGCGGTCGTGTTTTCACACTTGAGGAATTAGCGAAGGGGTGGAACTTGCGAAGGGGAGCGGCGGGGTCTTGTGGCTGGAGGATCCCAAATTCTTTCACCTCGTAGGTAATAAATATATATATATATATCCCATCCGAACAGAGTGAACCGGCCACGATTAAGTGTAATGAATGTTATATATAAATGCGCACCTACTTGGTGTTAAAATTTGAGGGTGTTGTGGACCCCCGCTCTTATTCCATTCATCCCTTTCTTACTTCTATCTTTTTTTTTCAGATAATTTCACGATCTGGCCGCTGACCCGTCCGAATATTCCCGCCACCGATACCACCGCCCTTCCACGTACGAGGACAGGGGCGACGACACCGTCAGCGGCGAAACGCTCTGGCGCAAGCCAAGGGACCGGGGACTGCGTCATGGCGCTTATTCATAACCGTGCCAATGAGGTGGGCGTGGCTCTGTGCCTGTTTTCTTCCCTGGCGGTCATCATCACACAGTACGGTGACAGCGTGGCCTTCGCCAAGACGCTTTCATTTGTATTTTCCCGCAATCCCGTTGAGGTGCTTGTGCCGGAGACTGCGCTGGACGGGAATTTTGTGCAGACATTGTTGCGTCACTTTCGTCACATCACCTTCGCGGGCGTGCGGCGCGGCACCTTTGACGAGGCCCGCGGTGCGCATTGTCTTTTTTAGCTCATGTCAACAGACGAGGCCTGCCTGGAGGTTGGCAACACCGACCGATATCTTTGCGTGGCCGCTGCCAACGCCTTGGTTGAGTTTTTGGAGATGAATTACAACCGCACGCTTCTTCCGCACACTGTGCGTGTGCAGTACTTGGCGCTCGAAAATTACGTGGAGGTTTCACCAATTGCTGCGCGAGGCCTGCACCTCATCTCCTCTGGCCCGCCACCTCGAGCCCAGTCGGGTGGTCAGCGACAAGACGATGCCGTGGGATGCGGCCACAAGAAACTTCCCACTCGCAAGACACTCTTCCGTGGACCACGAGAGCGGCGACAGAGCGCACCGATGCTGTCGCTTGTGGATGTGTTGAACCGCGCAATGACAATTGTGGGTGGACGGCTGCTGCGCTCCACCATTCTGCAGCCTCTGCGCGACCCCACAAGCATTGAGCTTCGCTATGACTGCGTCGAATGGCTGCGGCAAGAGGAAGAGACACTCAAGGCGCTGCGGCGCTCACTGCAATTGCTTGGAAATAACGACATTGAACGCGCCATCTCTAATTTTTCTCATGAGCCAAAGGTACAGACATTGAAGACCATGCAGCAGCGAATTGAGGCCGTTGTGGCGTTGTGGCAGCTTCTGGGCTCCGCCACACAACTTACGACCACGTTACGCAATTGCTTGCGCGAGGACGAAGGTGCCCTGAAGGATCGCGAGCACGACGGCCCTCGCAGCCATGACCGCTGCCTCAGTAGCGACAGCGGCAAGTATGATGTAAATGAAGGCGATGCTTATTGTTCTTTTCGTGATGAACAACCGTGTCCCAAGAGGCGGAGATTGGAAGAGACATGCCAAAGCCCTCAAGGCGCTTCTCCAGCACATAATCACGGCGTGGCCGCAGAAGCACCGGCAGTTGCTCTGAGGACCCGTCGCGGCACGACTACGCTTCTCTGCAAAATCATTGAGACTCTGACAGAGTGTCGCATGGAGGAAATCTGCGCCGAGATCGCGCTACACCTGGACGAAGGCGTATTGCGCGCCACCAGCGGCGTGGGGCCACAAGTCGGTGACAGAGTGACGCAGCGAGCATGTCGACCCAGCAGTGCCATCTCTCAGGTACAGCACTGCTTTGCCGTCAAGCCCAACATCAGCGGTACTCTGGATATAGCCCGTCAGCAATACAGCCAGGCCATTGAGGCAATTTTTGCTCTCGCAGAGGAGCTAAAGCAAAGGTACAGTGTTTGGTCCCTGCATGTCGTCTATGATGGTGTGCGTGGCTACCGTTTTTCGTACGACGCTCGACATGAGCGTAATGCACCTGATGCTGTCTTTCTGCGGAAATACTCTGGCGGAAGTCACGACTCACTTTATCACAGTAGCCGCATGACGATGGTGGGGGAAGAGGAGAAACAAACGAATACCATGGAAAAGAACGGTGGTGGTTGTGGTGACGGGTATGGTGTTGGCAGGGCACGCGCCGTGGCCACCGGCGGCGTCTCTCCTCTGCGTGACGAATACTCTTCTACGTGTCAGGAGCGTTTTCGGCCAACTTATTCCCACGACGCTGCGACCCTGACGCCTGGGGAACAGAGTGGGAACAACGGTGAGCACCAACTCACAAAACACCAGGTGCGCGGCAGGCGGGTGACGTGCACGACCAATGGGCTGCTGGTCCTTTGCCGTAATGCGGAAGACGCGGTGGCAGAGATTTTTTACACCCAAGATGGTCACGTACGATTCCTGATTGAATATCTTCGGCAGCGCCTTGGGAAGCTGCAGGCGGTGTGTGACGCTGTTGCCTTGTTGGACATGCTGACGGCCTTCGCCGTGTACTCTCGGCGCAACGGTTGTGTCCGACCGAAGTTATTGAAACCAGAGAGGCTTTTGGTGAGCGGCGGGGGCACTTATTTCTTGGAGGCCCGTCACATTGGCGGCCTGGCGACAGCAAACAGCATCCAATGGGGCGACGATGCCAGAGTCCTTCTTGTCACAGGGCCCAATGCTGCTGGGAAAACGACCATTTTGCGACAAGTTGGTCAGCTTTTTGCCCTCGCACAAATTGGGTGTCTTGTTCCAGCCAAGGCTGCTGCGGTGTGTCCTTGTGACAGAATTATTGCCCACATGCTTTGTGACGATCTTGAAGATACGACCACCTCTTCCTTCGGGAAGGAGATGCGAGAACTCTCGTACTTATGTCCGCACGCCACGCAAGAGAGTGTGGTACTGGTGGATGAACTTGGAAGACGCACATCTGCGCGTGAGGGAGCCGCGATTGCGTGGGCGACGGTGGAGTTTCTTGTAGAGACACGATGCCGCAGTGTCTTTGTGACGCGCTTCGGGCCTTTGACGCGTCTTGAAAACCGTTCCGCGGGTGCGGTGAAGAAATACCATCTTGCAGTGGGCACCGAGAGCGACGAGGAGGGTGGTGCGCTGGGGGATGCAACAAAAACTTCTGGTCGCCCGGCGTGTACTCCCCGCTTCGAGCACCGACTAATTCCCGGCCCCTCACAGGTTGATCACTATGGGCTGCGTCTCGCGGAACGTGTTGGCTTTTTTAAGCCAGCACTCGACCTCGCCAAGGAGCTGCTGCCTCTGATGGAGGGGGTCAGGGGAGCACAGCAAGTCGGCAACACTGACCATGACGCCGCCGCTCCAGAAGCAGAAGAGGTTGGCCGTGACGAGCGTGTGGAAGTGTTGTCTGATGTGCGCAACCGTGGTGAGCCGGGAGAGATTGGTGATGCTCATGGCAACGCTTCCCAACCAACCGAGGTGAGTGCACGGCTTGCTGGTGCCAATGATCTTTCCAGCATTACTGCGGTGAGCGATGAGTCGGACACCACCGAAACCATGCGGAATTTTTATCTGAACCAATAAATGAACCATGTTTTTTCCCTGTTATTATTATTATTATTGTTTTTTCCTTTTCTTTACTCATTATTATTATTTTTTGTTGCCCTTGGGGAAGGGGATTGAAGGGTTTGTGTGCGTGGTAAGGACGGGGCGAGGAGGGGTGGGGCCTTTTGTATTGTTTATTGTTTTTTGTCTGCGAACCGATGGAGGAGCAGACGGTCTGGTCGTCTTTTTCAATGGGGGAGGAGCTATATGTATTTGCATCGCCGCTTATTTTTTTGTGGGGGCTGATTTTTGCAGGGCGCTGCAGCCGTCTTTTGTTTTTTAATTTCTCGCCCAGTTCTTTATTTTGTACTTTTGCTTTTGTTTGAGGGATCCATGCGGCGCCAGCGGTGGGTGCTGCAGCGTCACTGCTCTGGCTCTTTTACAGCGACGGCTATTGGCCGCGCAACAATTCGGCAAGGGACATCCTTGTCGTCACTTACTTCTTTGGGGGCGACCGCGGCGAAGCCGGCGACGAGGATCCGCGGACGTGTGGAGACGACACGCGTTCGCGGAAAGATCGCTTTTATTCACCTTCGCCAGCCGCCCTGTCACTCTATTCAGGTGGTGGCATCTGCCGCGGACATCGTGCGGCGGGTGAAGGAGCTCACGCCAGAGTCCATCATCGACGCGACCGGCACTCTTGTGCCTGCGGAGCGACCTGTGACTTCCGCCAGCTGCAAGAATTATGAACTCCACGCGGAGCGTGTCGATGTGGTTAGCAGGGCGGCCACGCCGCTCCCTTTTCCCATAAAAGATTGCAACACCAGGCTGGACACGCGCCTGAACCATCGTGTCATGGGCATGCGCACACCACTGGCAGCATCGGTGCTCCGCCTCGTGTCTGCCCATGCGCGTGCGTGTTTATGCCTGTGCAGTCGTACCGCGGGTCCCATGGACCACGGGAAAACAAATGAAAGTGCGGCTTCACACAGCGCGCACGGAATGAATGAACGCGTGCATTTCTGTGATGGTGTTTTTCTCCCTCCGTTGGTTGTTTTTTTCCTCTTGCACGCGTTTTCTCTCCATCACCCCCGGTTAGACAGAGACCCCTGCGGGCATACGTAGAAGGACACATCCGCGTGCATATCTATCTATCTGTGTGCATATACATCTACAGAGGCAATAAGGAGACTGGGGAGGGGGGGAAACCCATACGGCGTTCTCTCTTGTCACGTAACGAGCGAACCACCCGCTCACAATTTGGCACGGGGCGGGGTTGGGCGCCGCTCTCTCTCATGAATCTGCGCCCGCACAGACCCGGTGTCCGCAACTCCGCCCCTTTTATTTCCGCCGCAGGTGCGTCCCATAACTCTCATTACCCTAATGGTTTGCAGAACGAGGCGTTACTTGCCTTTGCGGTGGGCGAGGACCCGCATCACATATCATCACCGTGGGCGGGTGTCACGACTGAGTTGGGGGGACGGTCCGCTTTCGTCGCGTGTCCGCCGTTCAACCGTATTTCTCAGCCTGTTACTCCCGCGGCGACCTTGCAACGCGCCGGTGTCATAGGGGCTTGTAAAAAGAATGTTCACGGGGTAAGCCGCCCAATTTAATATATGTCTTGGCAAAGCGAACTCTGTACGGCCTTTCCCCCTTACTTTCTTAGGGGCTTGTGAAAAGAATGATCGCGGGAGAGCCGGCTGCCTTCATTAATGTGTTTATATCCTGATAAATGAATGCATTCTTTATGACACTTTCTACCGTATGAATCTTTTGGGAAGAACGCGACTTTAAGGGCATCCGGGGGCCGATAGAGGCAAGATAATATTTTTTATTTTTATTTTGCCACCCACCCACCACCTGTTGATCCCCACCTCGCGGCGGGGTCTTGTTGGAGGAGCCCAAATTCTTCCAATTCGTGGGTAATAAATGTATATAAAGATATATATGTACATATTTATACCCAATCCGAATGGCGTTCGCGCCCTGCAAGCGCCGATTCTCGTTGCGCAAGAAGACCGTCCACCACCGCAGTGTTGGACGCACGCGCCGAAAAGTAGTTATTCGATTCCTCCATCTGATGCTGAAGCTGCGCGCTTCGATTCTGCACGTCCGCGACGGTGACGGCGTAGTCCGAGTTTTGTCTTTGCCTTTCCGCAATGATCAGCCATTGTAAATATTAAATTAGATAGCCAGCTTTTCATGCAAAAATTTTCTTCAAAAGATCCTATAAAAAAACAACAGTAAAATAGTAAAAAAACAAAGATAGGTAAACCATTAAAAATAAAAACGGTGGCATAAAAAAGGGTGGGCGATGCGGCACTTATTCTCCGTGAGGAGTCGCAAATCCACACTCCGTGGCTCAGAAAGCTGCCACGACCCAAATACAATCCCATAAGAAGCAGCAACACACAAGACACGCACACGCACGGTATTGTTACCGCTCAAATCACGCAGTGTCAATTCCACGTCGTTGGGAGAGGCGAGGCGGTCGTCAGGACTCACGCCGCTCCACACCCTGCAAGGTGACTGTTTGTAGTGGGATTCGTTTCCAGGGGCGTTGTGCCCATTCATTTCTCTTCTGTAATATCCCCAGCAACGTGCCCTCTGACGCCGTCAACTACTCAAATCTTCTCGGGTGGTGTCGGAGCCGCTTCTCCCGTCGGAGCGGGGACCCTGTCCTTGAGTGCACGCATCGCAGTGGAATTCAGTGGGCGGCTGTACGGAAAGACGTTCTCCACCGTCACGTGAGATTCGTGCCCACCGCACGCGCCAAAGCGAACCCTCAGTACCTCAGGTGGCCTCTGGCCTGTCAACAGCACCTCTTCCTCCCCCAGCGACTGACCGTCAACGTCCACAGAGGCCTTGTTGCCTTGCAGCATGAGTGCCACTTGGTATTCTTTCTTCGGCTCCCGAGTGCTGGTCCGTGTTGTTGTCTTGCCTTTGAACGCCGTCTCCCACTTTTTATTATGGCTGTGCGACAGTCCCACGGTGTGATTGGACTCAGTGTTCGCCAGCATCGCAGTCAGTGGAGGAGTGTTCCCACTCGGGGCCTCTTTGATGGTCACCGACGCTACAAGTGTGAAGTGGTGGCTCAAGAATACATGACACACGTTATCATCCCGAGTGTTCACAAGCCATATTGCCCTGGACTCAATTCCCGTCACTTTTAACCCATCGCTGTCCTTCACTGCGTTCGTCACCGTTGCATGCAGGCAAGGGTACTCGTCGTTCCACGCGACATCACTGGACGCACCGGACAAAACTGCCACCAGACACGCCGTGGGTATAGACAAGCTGGAGAAGAAGGCGTCCTTTTGCGCCCAATTACTGAGGACGGACTCGATTGCACTCAGTTCCTCCGTCAGGCGGGAAAGTGAGATGACACGGCATTCACCGTTGCCCCTCCGTTGTAAAAGATGCAAATTGCCATCCGAGTACAGGAAGTTGCTGGCGAGCAACTAATCCGTAGCCTCCCCCACGGCAACCGGTCCAACAGAAAACGTGCGGTTGCTGTCCGTGATCCAAAGGCAGAGCGCAGTGGCCCTTCCCTTCCCCGAGGCATGCCCTCTCTGAGTGTACAGCATGACCTTCCTTTTCCCAATGGTCGCGGTGATGAGGGCATCCACATGCAGGCTTTCCTTCTGAGGGACTCCTGATCGTGCGTTGACCCACACGCCTGAGAGTGTCCCGATGGCCTCCGTCCACGCTGTCCCCATGTCACGCGACTCCTACACCCTCTGGCCATTCTCGCAGTCAACAATCATGAGAAGTGATCCCTCCCATTCGGTGACGCGGGGTTAAGGTATTCCGCAGAGGACATGCCCACTGCGAGCGCCCAGGCACTGCCGTTGTCCGTCGAGTAAATGATCATGGAGGAAACGTCTTCCGCTTCATTCACCGCCATCAGAGGAAACACAAGCATGCCATCCTCCATCACAACACCTGCGCCACCAGAAGCAATGAACTCCGTCCACTCACCTTGTGAGAAGCAGAAGAGATCCGTTTCGAGAGTGGTTTGGGGTCGCCCCATTTGATCCGTCTACTCTGCTTGCCATCCGTGGGATTCGTGACATCACCCACAAACAGTTTCAGCTCCAAGCCGTCCCATTTCCATTTCTCATTCGCGTGGGACCGACCAGAGCCTCCCGCAAGAAGAAACACTCCGTGGCCCTTCGTGATTGTTGTGGGGCGGAGCACAACACCCAAACTCTCCTTTCCCTCCGCTGCAACAAGCACAGTGTGTGCCCTCCATGTATCTTTATTGACCTTACCAACGAGAGCGGACCAATTCCACGCATAGTCAATGTACCCCGCAACAACACCAGAAGAAAGGGACATAGTTAATTGACCACATTGATATTCGGCATACATGCGACCTTCAAAGAAAGCAGCAATTACTCCACCAGCACTGACGAGAGAGGGTGAGACAAACAAATCCCTCGTCGTAACTGGAACAGTCCCATCCTTCGGCTACACCAGCGTCGTCTGCGGCACAAATAGATCGACTCTTTGCAGCTTCTGAAATTTCATTAAATCACTCTTCCCATTATTCCCTCCAGCAGCCGCAGCTCCACTGCCGCAGCACATCATCACGACGAGAAGCAGCACCGCGGAAGCAAACACACGCCGGGACATGTTGGGCCTCTGCGGCTCACTCTCTCTTCCTTCCCTCCCTCCGCTGGATCCGGTCACGCGGCGACAACTGTTTGTGTGTGCGGGGTGCCTTCACTGCTGCAACACGTGAGAGCATATAAATATGTGTGTGCTGTTGATCCTTTCAATGCCTTCGAATTTCACAGTAGCGTTTAGCGCTTATTTTCCTAGCGTGTCTCTTGTGTTCAACATGTGGAAAAAGAAAAAAGCGGCAATACACCAGACACGTCCGTGGGGAGCAGAGCACCCACGCAAAGAGCGGGGCACAAGACAATCCGGAAGGGACGGCACGGAGAACCATCGCCCACAGAAAAGAGCAGCAACACGGCAAGTCACGGCGGGCCGTCGGTGTGTGCGGGCCAGCCCTCACGCGGTGCAACAAGCCACACCCAACAGGAAAGGACAGACAGAAAAGCAGAGAGAAATGAATGGATGCCGTCAGGAGGCACTCACAACCAACATGGCCCGTGAGCATGCCGCCACTCCACGCAGGAACACAGGAGAAATTGGTGAGAGGAGAAAAAAGCAAGAAGCAGCACAAAACACACGGAAGAAACAAATTGCGGGCGGGAAAGGCATCGCCAAGGGCCTCACCCTGGCCGGCGACTCCACACCAGCCCTCACACACACACACCATCGCAGTGCCGTCAGTCCGTGGGTGAGAGGATTCGGCCCTCCACACAACAAACGCGCACACACCACAACCGCCTCCAGCTCAATCCCACGGACAACGGCATACAGCCATAGCCCAGCAGCCAACACACTACGCACACGGAGCAAGCAATCACCCAAAGAGCCGCACGCAGAAGCGATTCCTCATCCATCAATGACGCGGCGCCTCAGTCCATGCGGTCACACGGAGCACACCGTTTCCTCGATTGATCTTATTCGTCATCCATCCCTTAAAAATGCTTCTGTTAGTGATGGGTCTTAGAACACAATAGAAGAAAATGGACAATGCAGTAACACCGTGACACCGCCAGCCACAATGATTCCCTCATACCGGGGCAACTCTCCAATTACGCCTCGTATACAAACACACAACTAACATACTGTACGAAAACCACCCAATTTCTTTCACCAGAAGCCAAACAACCCCACTCCCTCCCTAATTTCTTCTGTCACTGTTATGTTCGATAGCGTTGGACATTTCTGAAATCTGTGCGATATACTGCCGCCCGGTGCGGGTGCATCCGCACCGTAGCCACACAATTATCCAAAAATATATATATCCCACAATGTTTTTTACCAGAAATCAAAACTACCCCTTTCATTCCCTAATTCGTTCTCCTATTTCGTTTTTCCACATCTCAGAGAGCATCGCCTCTACTGGCGCCAGCGGATGATATTGCTGCTAGGTACTGGTGCACCTCCTCCCAGAACGCCGCAACCTCTCGGTTTTCATCGTCACCCACATTATTGGAATTGTCAACATCACATCCCTGCCATTCCTCCATCGGCCTGTATAT